CAATGTATGGTTGTCCATCTCTCACTAACCAACATCTACATGAACCCTTCTTCAATGTCCCCCAATGTAGCGTGACACTTCACTAATAATGAAAGGAGACACTTCAGTGACCACTAATGTAAGAAGATACTTTACTGACCACTAATGTAAGGAGATACTTTACTGACCAGCAATGAAGGGAGATACTTCACTGACCACCAATGTAAGGAGATACTTTACTGACTACCAATGTAAAAAGACACTCCACTAACCACCAATTTAAGGGAGATACTTCACTGACCACCAATGTAAGGGGATACTTTACTGCCCACCAATTTAGGGAGATACTTCAATGACCACCAATGTAAGAAGATACTTTACTGACCACTAATGTAAGGAGATACTTTACTGACCAGCAATGAAGGGAGATACTTCACTGACCACCAATGTAAGGAGACACTTTGCTGACCAGCAATAAAGGGAGATACTTCACTGACCTCCAATGTAAGAAGATACTTTACTGACCACTAATGTAAGGAGATATTTTACTACCCACCAATTTAGGGAGATACTTCACTGACCACTAATGTAAGGAAACACTTTACTGATCATCAATGTAAGGGGCCACAACAATGACCTTTAATGTAATGACACACTTTGTTGACCACCAAAGTAAGGAGATACTTTACTGACCACCAATATAAGGGTACATTTAATTGCCCACCAATGTAAGGAGATACTTTACTGACCATCAATGTAAGGGTACATTTAACCGACCACCAATGTAAGGGAACGCTTAATTAACCACCAATGTAAGGAGATACTTTACAGACCATCAATGTAAGGGTACACTTAACTGACCACCCATGTAAGGAGATACTTTACTGACCACTAATGCAAGGGAAAATGTTATTGACCACCAATGTAAAGAGACACTTTACTGACCACCAACGTAAGGCAACAGTTTACTGACTATCATCACTGTAATGGCAAACTTCATTGACCAACAATGTAAGGAGATATTTTACTGACCACCAATATAAGGGTACACTTAATTGACCACCAATGTCAGGAGATACTTTACAGACCACCAATATAAGGGTACACTTAATTGACCGCCAATGTAAGGAGATACTTTACTGACCACTAATGTAAGGAAAAATGTTATTGACCACCACCAATATAAGCAGAAATTTTACTGACCATTAATGTAAGGGTACACTTAACTGACCACCAATGTCAGGAGATACTTTACAGACCATCAATGTAAGGGTACACTTAACTGACCAGCAATGTAAGGAGATACTTTACTGACCACTAATGTAAGTAAAAATGTTATTGACCACCAATGTAAAGAGACACGTTACTGACCACCAACGTAAGGCGACAGTTTACTGACCATCATCACTGTAATGGCACACTTTGTTGACCAACAATGTAAGGAGAAACGTTACTGACCACCAATTTAATGGGAAACTACACTGACCACCAGTGTGAAGGACCACTTAACTAACCAGTAATGCAAGGGGATGCTTTACTGACCATCAACTTAAGGAGAAGTTTGACTAATTACCAATTTAAGGGGACACTTCACTGACCACCAATGTAAGGGAACACGTTATCAACAACCAATATAAGGGGATACCTTTCTAACCACCAATGGAAGAAGAACTTTACTGACCATTAATGTATGGGTACACTGACCACCAATGTCAGGAGATACTTTACAGACCATCAGTGTAAGGGTACACTTAACTGACCACCAATGTAAGGAGATACTTTACTGACCACTAATGTAAGGAAAAATGTTATTGACCACCAATGTAAAGAGACACTTTACTGACCACCAACGTAAGGTGACAGTTTACTGACCATCATCACTGTAATGGCACACTTTGTTGACCAACAATGTAAGGAGAATCTTTATTGACCACCAATTTAATGGGAAACTACACTGACCACCAGTGTGAAGGACCACTTAACTAACCAGTAATGTAAGGAGATGCTTTACTGACCATCAACTTAAGGGGAAGTTTGACTAATTACCAATTTAAGGGGACACTTCACTGACCACCAATGTAAGGGAACACGTCACCAACAACCAATATAAGGGGATACCTTTCTAACCACCAATGGAAGAATATACTTTACTGACCACCACAGTAAGCAGACATTTTACTGATTACTAATGTAAGGGCACTTTTCCACTGACCACAAGAGAAACAATACCATTTTTTTTTTAATGGACACATTACTGTGTGTTTCATTTTATTATTTCTACTGATAATAAATTTGTCATATAGAGTGTTTGTGAAATACGCTAAGTACAGCACACTGTTTACTCTTTTATTACTTTGTAGCCTATCACTCTCACTAATGTACCATGAGCTGTAGACATAGTCACTATTAGCAGGAGTTCCCTAAGACCTGGACACTATTTAAAGGGTTCCTTCATGTAAATTAAAAAAAAATTTAAAATACTTGATTGGATGATTGTCTCAGTTTATGTGTCCGAAGATATCACTGTAAGGTCTATCAGAGAGAAGGAATAATATTTTAAAGTGGATCTACAGCAGGGGAGGGCAATTAATTTTCCCAAGGGGCCATATGAGAAACTGGGATTGTAGTAGAGGTCCGAACCTAATTCTTCTCAATATTATTTTTGGACCTGAGAAGGTCTATAAGTACACAAACATATAGAACAAAATCACCTTGAGCTAGGAATAATAGGTACAACTGCTCATGAAATGGATCTCTTGCAAGTGGGCCTCCCAGCCACCCACCCGAACTGTAAAATAACAGCCGAATGTGGCTGTTCACATGCCGCTGCCATGATGCTTTGCTTTTCGGCCATGGCATTTTTAACTCTTTGTGCAGAGTTTGACAAGCAGTACCAAAGGGCTCTGGGGTCTCAATTTGCTCGGGTCTGGTCCAAAGCCTTGTGTAGAACCCTCCTAGTTAGGTGCTAGGCTAGGCAAATTTAGTTATTTAGCTCCTCTGTAATCAGTGGAGCAGCTTGTGATTGGTTTTGGCTGCTGAGCTTCACTGGTTGTGGGTTAGACTGCTTTCCCCTGCCTTCTGGAGGGTTCTGGAATGGGCTTGGTGAGTCAAGTCTTTGGTCTGAATATGTATGTGGTCCCAGCCAATCCCTGGGGGTGGGGGTGCCCAGTAGGTGGCTGGGGAGTGCATATCCTACCAAATTGTACTGGAGTTGACCAAGGGATCTATCTGGGGATCTAGTCTGAAGGATTCACAGGAGACATGTCTGGCTGATATTGGAAGGAGACACCCAACTATCTAAAGACATTTGTGAGTACAGACCAGTGTGTAAGACCTCAGTGACTGTGTGCTGCCACTATCCATCTTGCATCAGTTCAGCCTGTGCTTAAAGATGGATATTTCTTATGGTATCTCTGTGTAGTTCAGTCCATCATCTGCTGCTGCAAGGTCTGTGCTAGGAAGCTTTGAGAAGGAGACAAGTGTCCTCAAGTTGCTACTTTACCTTATTGGAAGCAGCCCACAGTTACTCTACACCTTATCCAAGTTCAAGTAATAATAAAGTACTGTGGCCCGTGAGCTGGAAGTGGTCATTTGCTTGCCTTTATCTGGCCCTTGGGGCAACATGCCATCCACTAACACCATTCCTCCCACATACACCAACGATGGGGCACCATTCCTCCCACATACACCAACTATGGGGCACCATTCCTCCCACATACACCAAAAGATGGGGCACCATCCCTTCCAAGGACACCAATGATGGGGCACCATTCCTCCCACATACACCAACTATGGGGCACCATTCCTCCCACATACACCAAAGATGAGGCACCATCCCTTCCAAGGACACCAATGATGGGGCATCATTCCTCCCAAAGACATCAATGATGTGGGCACCATTCCTCCCACAATTCTTATGGGGCGCTATTCCTCCCACTGACACCAATGAGGAGGCATTATTCCTCCCAAAGACACCAATGATAGGGGCAGTATTCCTCCAATTTATACCAATGATGGGGCACTGTTTACTTCCACTGATGCCAATGATGTTGCTCCATTCTTCCCACTGACACCAACAAACAGGCACCCTTCCTCCCACTGATACTAATGATAAGGCACTATTCCTCCTACTGATACTTATAATGGGGCACTATTCCTCCCACAGACACTACCAGCTGGGTACCATTCCTCCTATTGATTCCAATGATGTGGAACCATTCCTCCAATAGATACCAACAACAAGGCACGATTTCAATCTTGAGTACTAACAATGGGGCACCATACCTCCCTCTGATAGCAATAGGGTGCTATTTTGTCTGCTAAAACCAATAATGGGGTATTTGTTATCCCACTGGCCACAGTCTGGGCCCAATAAAGCCTCAAGGACAGTACACTGGCCCTTTGTTAAGAAAGTTTGGAGACTCCTGCCCTAGACTATTCTTGAGCCAGAAGAGTGACTGGCTGCTGATACACTAGCTTTGGAAAGAACTTTGGGACCACTTAGTTGGCCCTTTAGGGGGTGAGAGCCAGTGGTGTATTTAGGTTTTGTGCTGCCCTAGGCAACCCAAAAATTGGTGCCCCCCCCCCGCGCAGAAAGAGCTTGACAATGACCAACAACACCCCTGCCCTCCACCCGAGTCTTCCCCCATACACCAGCCACCATCCCCCATGGCGAGAGAGAGAAAGACACTCACCTTCACAGCCCCGGACATCTCTGGGAACGAGAGTCGGGCTGTGCATACACCGTCATGAAACCCTCAGCATCTCTCGGAACCCACCAGGTCCCCATGCCGCCTGAGTCCCTTCTTCCATCCCTTCTTCCAAGGGGACGTGCTGCCCACCCCCATCCCCCCGGAAAAATTCCGCCCTAGGCAAATGCTTTGTTTGCCTTTTTGGTAAATACACCCCGGTGAGCACTACACTGGACTGGACGATCATCTCTCCAATTACGTCATGCCTACGACAACACAGCAAACCCTGTCAGATCGCTAATGTTGCTCCCAGGGGTGGACTGACAACTCACGGGGCCCCCGGGCAATAGGAGATCATGGGGCCCCTGTGTCCTCGCCTACACTCAAACCACACCCAAAAAAGCCTATTCGTCCATTTGCTGATAGTGCTAGCAGGGACTGAGCCACTCACAACAGGACACCAAGTGTACCCAATCCATACTGCACCCAATCCATACTGCGCCCAATCCATACTGCACCCAATCCATACTGCACCCAATCCATACTGCGCCCAATCCATACTGCGCCCAATCCATACTGCGCCCAATCCATAATGCGCCTAATCCATACTGCGCCCAATCCATACTGCACCTAATCCATACTGCACGCAATTCATACTGAGCCCAATCCATACTGCACCTAATCCATACTGACCCAATCCATACTGCGCCCAATCCATACTGCGCCCAATCCATACTGCGCCTAATCCATACTGCACCCAATCCATACTGCACCTAATCCATACTGCGCCCAATCCATACTGCGCCCAATCCATACTGCGCCCAATCCATACTGCACCTATTCCATACTGCGCCCAATCCATACTGCGCCCCCAATGCACCAATCCATACTGCGCCCAATCCATACTGCGCCAATCCATACTGCGCCCAATCCATAGTGCGCCCATACTACATACTACACTCTATACCACACTTATTCCAAATCTAGATTGCACCTATACCGACCCTATATCGCAGTATACCAAACCTACTTTACTGTATCTGAATCACATCCACCTTGCACCTGTGTTGAGACTATAGCAGGGGCTGACTGACAACTCATGGGGCTCCCGGATAATAGGGAATCATGGGGCCCCTGTGTCCTCACCCACACCACACCCAAAAAGCCTATGAAAGGTACCAGGGGCATCTCATGGGGCCCACTACTGACCCTGGGCCCTTGGGCAGTGCCCGAGTTCCCAAATGGTCAGTCCGCCCCTGGTTGCTCCCCAAAGGCATGCCTGCTCCCGCTTCCTCCACCATTCCATTCACATGTACACTTGTCTCCAGGCCATTTCCCAGACCGATCGACAGACAGATGCTTTGCACCAAGTCAGCCACCGCCGCGACCGCCGGGCCCATTCCGTTAGATAAACTCCATTAAATGCCAGTCCGCCGCGCAGGAGGATTGAAATAGCTCGACTTTGCAGAGCTTGACACTAAAACTCTTCGTTTTTTTGCAAAATTGCAAACAGATGCAAGTGAAGTACCTGCGAACAATCTGCCAAAACCGATCGCAAAAGGGAGATTTCCAATTCGGGGGAAATCATTAGGACATGTATTATTCCGCCGATGAATAGAGGCCAGGAGAGACTGACGCAGCAGATGGGTGCCGGTTTTGTATAGAAGAGATCAGCGGCGTACGAGGCGGCAAATGAAGAAGTATAACGACATGAAACAATTATGTGATAATGGCAAATGTTTGAAAGCTAATTGTAACGCTCCTTCCACGAGTGAACCCTTTCAACAATGTGTGACAGAACGCAAAAACTTTTTTTTTTTGTTACGTGTGACTGCAACGGATGGCATAATTTTTTTTATATCTTTTTTTTTTTTTTTTCGTTGTCGGGAATAAAGGGCCCCGTGTGAACCCGGGAGACAGACAGAAGAGAAATCTGTCATTGTTGCACACTGAATAATATATAAAGCTGAAGTATAATTTGTCTTTATTTTCCTTTGTTTTCCCCTCCCCCCAAAACTAACATGCTTTTGACATTCAAAAAAAAAAAAAAAAAAACCTTACATATCTTATTGTAGACTCGGTGACGTCATCACGGAGACTCTGTGTTTCTCTATACAATGCAGGCAGAGCGTGGATGGTGGAAGGGGCCATCAGGGTGCTGTATATAGCTTCCTGAAAAGATCACCCTGCTTCAATACCCCTCCTGGGAGCCCTGCTGTAAGCAGTAGGCTGGCTCTTGGGAGGAGTTGACAATCTGGAGGAGTGGGCTGGACTAGGCAGGCGTACATGCGTACCATGGAGGGGCGGGCTGACCATTTGGAAACTCCAGCACTGCCCGAGGGCCCGAGGTCAGTAGGGGGCCCCATGAGATGCCCCTGGTACCTTTTTCATAGGCTTTTTTGAGTTTGGGAAAGGACACAGGGGCCCCATGATCCCCTATTGCCCGGGGGCCCCATGAGTTGTCAGTCCGCCCCTGGTACCATGTTAGGTAATGCCCACATGTGATGATGAGCCTCCATGATTGAAAGAATTGAAATCCAATGAAAAAAAGGGGAGTGCCAGGATAAATCATGGTGGGGAGGGAAAAACAGTGGTCTCCAAACTGCGGCCCAGGGGCCAGATGCGGCCCTTTGCTTTCTTCTATCTGGTACTTGGGGCACTATTTTCATCCACTAACACCAATGAAGGCGCACAATTCAGAATTCCTCCCACTGACACCAACTATAGAGTAAATTTCCTCCCAAAGACACCAATGATAGGGCACTCTTTGTCCCACTTACACCATGATGGGGCACTCTTCCTCCCACTGACACCAATGACGAGGGAACTATTCCTCCCAATGACGGGGCACTATTCTTCCCACTGACACCAACAATGGGGCACTATTCCTCCCACTGACACCAAGGATTGGGTGCTATTCCTCCCACTGACACCAATGATGGGGCACTATTCCTCCCACTGACACCAATGATGGGACACTATTCCTCCCACTGACACCAATGATGGGACACTATTCCTCCCACTGATACAAATGATGCACTCTGGGGCACTATTCCTCCCACTGACACCAAGGATTGGGTGCTATTCCTGTTGCTGCTGACACCAAAGATGGGGCATTGCTTATTACCACTGACACCAATGATGGGGCATTGCTTATTCCCACTGACACCAATGATGGGGCATTGCTTATTCCCACTGACAGTGGGGCCTTTTCTACTCCCACTGACCACAGTCCAGCACCCCTTAAGGGCTTGGCCCTTGGGGCAGTATTTTCATCCACTGATACCAATTAAGGTGCACAATTCAAAATTCCTCCCAATTACACCAACTCTGAGGTGCTATTCCTCCCACTGACACCAAGGATTGGGTGCTATTCCTCCCACTGACACCAATGATGAGGTGCTTATACTCCAACTGACACCAAGGATTGGGTGCTATTCCTCCCACTGACACCTATGGGGCACTATTCCTCCCACTGACACCAATGATGGGGCACTATTCCTCCCACTGACACCAATGACGGGGCACTATTCCTCCCACTGATACCAATGATGGAGACACTATTCCTCCCACTGATACCAATGATGGGGCACTATTCCTCCCTGACACTGACACCAATGATGGGGCACTATTCCTCCCACTGATACCAATCCCACTCCTCCCACACCAATGATGGGGCACTATTCCTCCCACTGACACCAATGATGGGCACTATTCCTCCCACTGACACCAATGATGGGGCACTATTCCTCCCACTGACACCAATGATGGGCACTATTCCTCCCATTGACACCAACGATGGGACAGTGCTTATTCCCACTGACATCGAGACCTTTTCTTCTCCCGCTGGTCATAGTCCGGCACCCCTTAAGTCTGAAGGACAGTAAACTAGTCCTTTGTTTAGAAAGTTTGGAGACTCCTGGACTAGATGATGCTGGACGACCTCCAGCCAGGAAATCCCAGGCTGCGGCTTCTTCACCGACTGGCATGTGCTTTGTGCTGCAGTCAGGGGCGGACTGACCATTTGGGAACTCGGGCTCAGCCCGAGGGCCCGGGGTCAGTAGGGGCCCCATGAGATGCTCCTTGTGCATTTCATAGGTTTTTTTGGGTGTGGTTTGAGTGTAGGCAAGGACACAGGGGCCCCATGATCCCCTATTGCTCAAGGGGCCCCATGAGTTGTCAGTCCGCCCCTGGCTGCAGTGCATTACACTGAACATCGGGGTGTCATTCACAACGCATGGCATTGCAATGCATCGCACATACAGCAGGGGGCACTGTCACATGTTGGCACAAGCTGCTGCAACACGCAGGTGACTGGGCCCTGAACATGCTTTTTTTAATGACGCAGTGCAGCCTCTGGAAGTATCCACTGATTGTACTGGTGAAGGCTGCCATCCGGGATATTCTCTTTCGGAACGCCTCTGGAACAATGCATGCCATGCACTAAGCAGGATGGATTTCATCTCTCTGAGTTATGGGCGCATAATACATTTATTGTTGCAAAAGCTGGGGGATGGGGGGATGGGGTGACGGGGGGGGATGGGCACTTAATATCTAATCTGAGCTTTTTCTTTAAAGAGACACGGCACTTTTTCTATGCAGGATATTATATTGCATTCACACAGTCCACCTGCTGGGCATTTATACTTACCAAGCCACGCCCCTTGCTCCCTCCTGGCACCTCCAGGGCCCTTGCAAAGGTACCAGGGTTTCCAGGTATGGGGGGAGAACATAACCCCCCCCCCTCCCATTGTGATAGAGCTGAACAGCCAATCACCAGACCCAAAAACCGTCACATGGAGAGGTTCCATGATGTCATCTGAGCTACTGAATCTGAGGCTCCGTTCGCACCAATGCGTTTTTCAGTGCTTTTTGCAGAAACGCACTACAGTCCATGTAACATGGTTTCCTATGGAACACGTTCACAGCAATGCTTTTTTGAGTTACTGCGTTTTTGGAAAGGGCCGGGGACTTTTTTAAAAGCTAAAAGCAGGGTTTTTTCTACAACAGAGTTCAATGGAGAAGCTGCTGAAATGCATGGTAGTGTGTTTTTGCTGCGTTTTGTGTTTTTACTCTGCCCAGCAAAAAAAAAAAAAGCAGTTCAAAAGAAAAGAGCTGAACAAAACGCAAAACGCGGTAAAAACACATCAAAAACTCTCTTCCTCTCCACATCGTCCTCTTCCTCTCTGCCCTGCCCTTTTCCTCTCCGCCTCATCTTCTTCCTCTCTGCCACATCCTCTTCCTTTCCGCCTCATCCTCTTCCTCTGTGCCTTGTCCTCTTCCTCTCCATCTCATCCTCTTCCTCTGTGCCTTGTCCTCTTCCTCTCTGCCCTGTCCTCCTCCTCTTTTCCCCATCCTCTTCCTCTCTGCCCTATCCTCTTCCTTTCCACCTTGTCCTCTCTGTCCTGTCCTCTTCCTCTCCGCTTCATCCTCTTCTTCTCTGCCCTTTCCTCTTCCTCTTTTCCCTGTCCTTTTCCTCTCTGCCCTGTCCTCTTCCTCTCTGCCCTGTCGTCTTGCTCTCCGCCTCATCCTCTTCCTCTCTGCCCTGTCCTCTTTCCCCATCCTCTTCCTCTCCACCTCGTCCTCTCCACCTCATCCTCTCTGCCCTGTCCTCTTCCTCTCCAGTTCATCCTCTTCCTCTCTGGCCTGTCCTCTTCCTCTCCAGTTCATCCTCTTCCTCTCTGGCCTGTCCTCTTCCTCTCCACCTCATCCTCTCTGCCCTGTCCTCTTCCTCTCCACTTCATCCTCTTCCTCTCTGCCCTGTCCTCTTCCTCTTTTCCCCATCCTTTTCCTCTCTGCTGTGTCCTCTTCCTCTCTGCCCTGTCCTCTTCCTCTCCACCTCGTCCTCTCTGCCCCGTCCTCTTCCTTTCTGCCCTTACTGCTTCCTCTCTGCCCCATCCTCTTCCTTTCTGCCTCGTCCTCTTCCTCTCTGCCCTGTCCTCTTCCTCTCTGCCCCGTCCTCTTTCTCTCCACTTGGCTTTGATAGATGGTGGGGAGGTGTTATATTGTCTCATCACTGATCGTTTAAACCCCTGCAGGCCTGCACCACAGTTCCGCAATCACATACAATCACTTGAATGGGTCATCTTTGGTGGGCAGTACTGCCTGCTGAACATGACAGGGGGTTTCATTCTTGCTATGGCTGCCTTTCCAGCTTTAAAGGAATGGTTGGGAGGGAAGGGGGTGGTAAAAGCTTGGCTAGTTCCCCCTTCCCCAACTGCAAGTGTAAAGAGCTCTAAGAAGCATCAGGCCGTGGTTGCA